TTCGATCACGTAAGGAAAACTCGATGGAATTCATGATTGTCTCAATGTTATTTTTTTTTATTGTCTGAATATTCAAAAACTAAGACCACTCCAATGCTCCTTTTCGCCACACATAAACTGAACCAACAATTAGGATAAGCATGAAAATTAAAGCTTCTATAAATACAGATACCCCCAATACATCAAAACTCATAGCCCATGGATAAAGAAAAACCGTTTCAACATCAAAAACAACAAAAACTAGAGCAAACATATAACAACGGATTCGAAATGTCGGTTTCGGTTCTGGTTCCGGGTATCTTAGAAAATATCAATTACCCCCTATTTTTAAAAAATGACAAATAAACCCTTATAAAATTACAATTACACCCCTAACAATTAAGTGCAAAACATTAAATAATATATTTGTTTATATTTACTTGATGTTTAATGATTGATTATAAGTATTTAAATGTTTCTTTTCACTAATAATAAACATTTAAAAACTATTATTTAACGTAAATGTTTTAATATATATTAATTTCTTAATCAAGTAATAAGTGAAACTTAAATATTAATAAGAATATTTTGAAAAACTGATATTTTAACGAAAATTAATAAGACTTTTGATAATAAGATTAAAAAAAAACCAAAATTTTCTTATATATTTATATGATATGCAAAATATTAAAGAAACCCTATTCTTTAATATTATATCAATTTAGTCCCGGTTCCGGTTCCTTTGATTTGGAATCGAAACCAGAACCGCACAGTATCGGTTCCAATTTTTTGGAACCAAAACCTATCATGTTACAACTGGTTCTGGGTAGGGACTAGAACCGACACCTGGTTACCCGTCGATTCTGGTTCTACCTTAAAATTTTGCCCACCCCTGCACGATACCATTGTAATACTCAAAATTTTATTCTATTTGATGTCATAAAAAATTAACCTGAAAATTTTGTTGGTTATAAATTCTTTACATTACTGTGTCTGTTGTAATTGTATTTGGAAAATTAATTAAAATAATACTGTACTATGTTTCGGTCCGATATATAAGTTGCATGTAGCGATAATTCAAGAATCAATGACATGCATAAACATTAGATGACAAAATACCGCCCCACTACATGTGGAGCTCATATGTATGTATATAACCATCACGTTCTTCATATGCCAACATTTTTGTCTCTTACAATAATAGAGACTCAAAAGAGAAAAAACAGATTACAACAACCTCGAAGAAACGGCGTAAGGAAAAGTCCAGAAACCAGTGCAACAATATAGAACATTGTTAGGAAAAGTCTAGAAAAAACACCNAACATATCATAAGATTCCCGTTCTTGAAAATCCGTACTTTTCCAAACCCAGAAAACAGATGGAATTCTGGGATTACTCCTGTGAGTAAATACTTTTATGCAAACTTCTTCCGCTTGATTGACACCATATTCTATTCTCGTAAGATGATACACACTGGCTAAGAGGCCACCTGGTGCCACATCATAGGCACATTGGGAACGTAAATAATTGTAACCATATACATATAAAATTACAGCAATAGAATGCCAATCTTCGGGCTTTATTTGTAAAGTCTCTATTCCTTGGTAATCGAAGCCCAACGATCTATGAACCAGCCCCCGTTTGGCTAGCCAAACGGACAAAGTGCCCTGCATCTTTTTTATTTCCCCCACACCTTTTTTATATAAATTTAAGTATTTCACATTTACCATGAGTTCTAATTTATGAAGATTTTTTTCTTATTCTCTCAAATCCTCCCTAATTCACTAATTCGTGGGAAGATACTGGGCTTTTGTATTTAAAAAATGTTTCAGTAGAGATCTCTGAAGTAGATGATGGTGGATAGAGTAATTCTTGATCATAATTTCCAGTAGGAGTACTGCATACAACACGAAACTTGTGATTGGTAGTAAAACACCGATTACCCCGTTGAGGTCTAATTCGATCCTTATAGATTTCTCTAGCTATTTTCTTACGAAGCTTTGTTATAGCGTCTATAACAGCCTCTGGTTTAGGTGGACAACCCGGCAAATAGACATCTACAGGAATTAGCTTATCAACCCCTCGAACAGTACTATAAGAATCGGTACTGAACATCCCCCCTGTAATTGTACACGCTCCCATAGCAATAACATACTTTGGTTCAGGCATTTGTTCATATAATCTCACTAAAGAAGGAGCCATTTTCATTGTTACTGTACCTGCTGTTAAAATAAGGTCCGCCTGTCTAGGACTTGATCTTGGTACTAGCCCATAACGATCAAAGTCAAATCGGGAGCCTATTAATGAGGCAAATTCAATAAAACAACAACTGGTACCATAAAGAAGCGGCCATAGGCTGGAAAGTCTTGACCAATTTGAAAGATCATTTAACGTAGTTGAAATAACTGAGTTTTTTGTTGTTCGATCAAGTACGGGAAACTTAATGGAATTCATAATTGTTTCAATGGTTTTTTTTTACTTTTTTTTGATTGTTATTGTACAAGTATTCAGGAAACGAACTAAGACCATTCCAACGCTCCTTTTCGCCATGCATAAACTAAACCAAGAATTAGGATAAGCACGAAAATGAAAGCTTCTATAAAAGCGGATACCCCTAGTACATCGAAACTCATTGCCCACGGATACAGAAAAACGGTTTCAACATCAAAAACAACAAAAACTAGAGCAAACATATAATAACGGATTCTAAATTGTAACCAAGCATCCCCGATCGGTTCTATACCTGATTCATAACTAGAAAGTTTCTCCGGCCCCTTCGTAATTGGAGATAAAACCCCGGAAATTAGAAATGCCAAAACAGGAATAGCACTTGATATTATTAAAAATGCCCAGAAAATATCATATTCGTAAAGCAGAAACATAGACGAACTCTCCTATGAATGTGGAAAAAATACCCGCTTAGTCAATTCCAATCGGAGTGGATTGGGCAAGGTATATATAACTCTTGCGTCAAAACAAAAATTCAGGTTAATCGAATCATTTATTTTCGTTTGGTTGCTGTGGTAGACGTCTCCTTTTAAGATTTATTGATTGTAATCTTATTTTCAGTACACTTATTACTTAATATTTCCATGTTTCTATTACTAATAGTTTCTCATATTAATAATATAATATTAATATGATTAATAACTAGTAATTTTTTTTATTTCTGTTTCTTAAATTTGCTTTATGTTTTATTTAAAAATAAAACAAATTGATAAAAATATCTTCGTTTTTAAAATTATGACGTATCAAAAAATCCACTTACGACTATGAAAATGAATGAATAAAAAACGTTTATTCTAAATTATAAGTATCTATCTAGATATATCGATAGATAGTGATTGGATCCACTGAAATCAAATTTGGTTTTCCGTTTTATTCTGAACGACCCCCAGGACTTATGGTTTAGGGTCTGGGAGTTTTTTTTATGAACCAACAAATTGAAAGTAACCAGTTAGAAATAAAGAATACAATAATAAGTCAAAAATTATCCAATTATTTGGATTTGAATGTCATTTATTAGAATAAATTTATTAGTTAGGGCTATACGGATTCGAACCGTAGACCTGCTCGGTAAAAGAGCTCGAACTTATTATTATCAAAATGATTCGAACTCTTTCAAAGACCCAACATGCATTTTTTTTTGCATTGGGCTCTTTCATTAACTGATAGAAAGATCAGTTAGTCTACCATATTTTTTCTTAAAAAAAAAAGATAAGAAATGGTTCCAAGTACTCTGATTGATTATTTTTTAATTCTATAATTCTAATACAATACAGAATAACTACCAAAGTGTTTCAAAGAAGGGTTCTCTTGACGTAGGTTTGCTTTTGGTCTAGATCAACTTAAGTTAAATATAGTCTCTAACATCCTGATTAAAAAATCAAATATGAAACTTGCTACACCTTAAGGTTCATAGGACGAAAAGATCATTTTTGAGTTCCTTATACTCATTCTGCCTAGCATTAAGTAGACTGGGTATTCACCCTATCAATATCTCAAATCAATGATGGGTTCTATTAATTCCCTACCGAAATGGGGTACTTTAATAGGACCTAATGTCAGGCTATTGTTCTCCTCTTTTTCCTAAAAAAAAGTCATGGAGTAAGACATCGATTTATTAATAAGATCAATCAATTGGTTTGATTGCGTGATGGACTCCTCTGAAAAACTTTGGCGCACGTGTAAACGAGGTGCTCTACCTAACTGAGCTATAGCCCTTGTGTTTATGATCCACATTTTATCTTATCATGTAGATAATTTCTTGTCAAGATTAATATTATATGATCGAACATTATATCTCTTTCATCTCGTTGTTTATTGGTATTGCTTAGAAATAATATTGGATTTATAATCCTATCGATGTGATAAGTATCCCCGTGCCTTCTCTTTACGATGATAAATAACCTACTTAACTCAGTGGTTAGAGTATTGCTTTCATACGGCAGGAGTCATTGGTTCAAATCCACAGTGGTTAGATTAGAACTTATTAGATACCGCGGTCAATGGTATCTAATAAGTTTTTCTACCCACCCTCTTTTTCTTTTATTGATTTTGTATCTTTTCTATCCTATTCAAGTTGATTTTCGAATTGAAACGGAAACTTTTTTCTTTCCATCAGAATTCGATTCCACTTGATTGGATTTGATTGTATTCAATCGCCAGAATCCAAATCAAAAAAGGGTGTAAAAACAGAAATTCTTAGGATTATTCTATGCGGACGCACCAATTAGTTACGAACTCACATTGATAACTTCCCTGAAGAGGGAAAAGAGATTATAACCTCATGAAGATATCTGAATTTTCTTTCTCACCAAACAGCTACGGGAAAACTCCTGGCAAACAGAGTGACAGGGGATCAAGTTCGGAAGAGCAATAGTCCAATTTCAATTGTCCTTCATCTCTGCCGAAAATTGCAGAGAAATTAGTCGAGAAAAATTACAATTACTGGCGTTCCCGAGTACTACTAGCATTAGCTTCATTCGAGCTAGAAGAAAAAGTCAAGATGGCCAGTTTTCATGTCGTCGGTTCCAAACAATTTAGAGAAAGATTCAAGTCGCAATTCCGCTGCCGATTCAATGAATTTCACGAATTCTCAGTCAATTTTTTCTTCTACTCTTCCAGTAATCTCGTCCAAATTGACAAGAGACAATCACCGATTCTGGAAATCTCAAATTCTTTTTGCCGTTGGATCACATGATTTAGAAGATCACCTCACGGGACTGATTCCGTGTCCTGCTCCATTTATCAAAGTTCAATCAGAGGATTCCAGCTCAGAATCGATGGTGAAGAAGCCTAATCCAGAACATGTGCTTTGGAAGAAGATCGACAAACTTCTAGTAAGCTGGTTACTTGCCTCTATCTCTGAATCGATGTTTACAGTAATTTCGAAATGTCAATATTCGGCTGATATTTGGCTTACTTTAGAGCAAGAATTTCTTACTGACTCTCAGCAAAACCTTTCATTTTGACAACATAATCATGAATACTCAGGTTAGACCAAGACCTAAGGTCGATCCAAGACCCAAAGGGACCCTGAAGGTTTGACAGAGAAGGGCTCGGAAGAAAGAGTGAATACCAGTCTTCCTGCGGGAAGGGTATAGACAACAGGCGTCACCTTCTTTAGTCCAATGATGCCTTCTTTTCTTCCATNTTATCCATCCTATTCTCCATCTTGGATTTGACCATTCCCCAACCTAGCTCTGATACCAATGATACGTACACCTGCAAACAAACTAAAACCACAACCAAAAGGCAACAGTTCTCACACAAATCACACACTCACTGTCAATCCACAACCAGAAAACACAAGGACACAACTGATAAAAACTCAGCGCAATTTGTATTAATCTGATAACTTGAATGAAACAGAAATGATAGGTGATGATTGGAATGTAACCCAACAACCCTGGCGTTTCGAGGAGCCAGGAACCTCCACTGTTTTATCAATGCCAAAAAAGATGCCCTGCTGCAAGACCCTCGCTGCTCTTATATACAGTTCCCCTTTCCACAATTACCCTTACTCACACAATTCATATTCTCAACACAGACTCTCAACCATGACACCTGTACCTTGTGGACCCTGCTCCTTTAACAACCTTTCTAATGTCTATTATGCCCTTTACGGTTGTAAACCTTATGTATGGCTGGTTTATCAGCCTACTGTTCTCTTTTTTTTCTTCACGGAGTAGTTGTGTCAGTGTAATCAGATCCCACACAATTGCATGTTACATCTAGGATTTACATATACAAACAACATATATTACTGTCAAGAGTCAATTTCTTATTATTTATATATTTTGATTGAAAAACTATGTGTAACGATCTGGGAATATGCTTACTGCATGTTGTATTTTGTTAAATGTGCATGAAGTGATCTAAGAGCTATCTATATATGGTTTGAACTCAGGCAGGCCATGGTTGGGATGTGAAAAGTGTTGACTGGCACCCTACAAAATCGCTTCTGGTTTCAGGTTTCTTATCTTTTACTCTTGTGAAACCTTTGTTGAGGTCTTCATATGAGTTTCTATTCAATGCTTAATACTCTTTAAGTAACATGTTTTTTCAGGTGGAAAAGACAACCTTGTGAAACTTTGGGATGCTAAAAGTGGGAGAGAGCTCTGCTCTTTGTGAGTATCTTATCTTAGCAGACATATGTCATAACTTAGTTTAAAAATTGAATTATTTTAACAAGCAATTCATGTCCTTGCAGTCATGGCCACAAAAATACAGTACTTTGTGTGAAGTGGAATCAAAATGGTAACTGGGTGCTAACTGCTTCCAAGGATCAAATAATCAAGGTTTCTCCTTTCAATCCTTTTCATTTAAAGTTGTGAAGTTTGAATTTTGTTGCTTGATTATTTTCTCTGATTTTTTCTTCTTTTCCTCTTTTTCTGATGTTTACATTTTCTTTGAAATAATTGTAATTGCTGTACGCTGACACTTACAGCTTTATGACATAAGAGCTATGAAAGAGCTTGAATCTTTCCGTGGACATCGAAAGGATGTGACTGGTAAGTGAAAATTATTATCCTAGTGCATATCTCATGTATGATAATGTCTAAAAAAATTTTTAACCAAGCAATTAAAACAAAACTGAAATGGTTATATGGGTAGATGCTATGTGTTCACTGTGATTTATGTACCCTGAAGAATTTATTGATGTTGAGAAGTAGCATTACATGCATTAATAAAGAATGACCCATCTGCTTGATTGCGCTCAAGTACAATATTGTTGCATTCAAGTCCTCACTTTCATCATCTGTTGTCATGACCATAATCGTAGTGTTAAGACATGCAGGTAGGTATTGAATTTTTTAATCATTATAACTTATATCACTTTTACCTCTTGTAAAATTCTTATGGACCTTTTTCTGATCTTTTATATAGATCCTCTTTCTTGTGGACAGTTTATTCATTTTTTTTGCAATTATTCTTTTCTATCAATGATCTATTTGCTTTTGCTTAAAAATAAAGAAAAGAAAGAGAAGAGAAAAATCTCATGGCCTCGAATGAGGCTTTTATGGCTGATAATATATATGAAGTGAAGAAAAGATCTACAATTGCTAGAAGTCTTGATATGTATACTTGATTTAAATGATGGCTTAGTCTCCAGCTTAGTCTATGGTTACACTAGCACTCCTGAGGGCAGGTGCTAATTTTTGTTCTGTCAAGTCAGGAAGAGGGAAATGGCTTTGCAGGTGGAAGTGAGAATAAGGTGTTTGTATTCCATGGCCATGTCTATTCCACACTTCTGATTGAGTTACTAGGTGTGGACCAGCACAACATATTATAGCTATTATTTTACAGGATCTCTGGTCATAATGCTAATATTATATGATAATTTAAAGAGTGAGAATAAGGCGATTGTATTCATGGCCAAGTCTGTTCCACACTTCTAATTGAGTCACTATTTCACTACAGTGATAGACGAATTAGCTTGATCTCCTGCTGAAGAAGTATGGGATTGGATTAGCAAGAGGTCTTTCCTGTGGACCTACTCAACAACTAAAGCTATTATTTTAGAGGATCTCTGGTCAAAATACTAACATTATATGATCATTTAAACATATCTTCATCCTTTTTTTGAATGTGTATTAAACAAGGTTCGAGTATGTGTTATTTTTATATGAATTTTGTTATTTAGCTACAAGTGACTGATTGCTAAGCATAATATGTTTTTTTGGTTGATTTTTTTTAAGGATGATACTTATGGCTTGTCTTCTTATAAATTTTTGTAGCATTGGCATGGCATCCATTCCATGAAGAATACTTTGTTAGTGGGAGTTTTGACGGGTCCATTTTCCATTGGCTTGTTGGGTAAATTCTATTCCTGATCGATAACAGTGTTTTACTGGTTGCATTATTTTTTTCCTCATCTATGCATCTGGGGGCTTTACATGTTATGGCTTTTTAAAGTTTTCATTACTCTTTGACTGTGTATACTACCTAATTTAGCTGGTAAGGTCTCATGTGGTTTACAAGAGTCTGGAGATCAAATTTTGCTCGCACCAAAATTTTGTTTGGATATAAGACCAAGAGGACAATCTATGTAATTTTTATGTTTCATCTGAAAATCACCTAATGAAGCTTTAAGACTTGAATTTAACAGTTTAGTCTGCATTCTTTGCTGACTGTAACATTTATTTATTTATTTTTATTTTTTATAGTGAAATATTTCTATTGCATCTAAAGTTTCAGAAAACAAATTGTTATTAAGACATCTTTATATATATATATATTCTTATTTTGGTAGTTTTCTCTTTCCTAGTTGAACTTATATTCTTTTTCTAATTATGATTTGGCCAGTATAAAGAGTCCTAATACATTGTTATTTTTGGACTTCAATATGAATATTGGCTTTCTCCTCAAGTTTCTATGTTTCTCTCCTTAGTCTGATTTTTTCCCCATTTCTTATTCTTCTAGATTTCTTCGATTTCTTGCTTGCTCCCTCTAATTCTATACTCCCCCCTTCTATCACTAATATTTTGATAACAACTAATTAAATTTAAGTTCAAATTCCTGATAGGCATGTGTTGCTTACTCCCGAGAGGACATAACAAATATAGTGTTTTAATATAATTCTTTGAACAGTTGTAATTGAGAAATGTTTCATTTTAGAGGAGATATTTATTTTTCTGTATTTGCTTCATCAAGTGGATAGTGGCGGGTTAAGGATTGATTGTTTGAATGGATCTTATTATGTAAGCTTTAAATTTTCGCACTACTGTGCATTAGAAGAAATAAACAGAATAACTATGGTTTTGGGAAGAAATACTTTCTAGGATTGTGAGAAATGCTACTAACCTAGTGTGGTTGTATGCTTTCTTTTGAGTCATAGGTTAGAGTGCATTCTGTTTTGGAGTTCAATGAGTTCGCTAACTTTTTTCCTCGATTATTGACCCTTTTTGGTCTGTTTCCAATGCTGAGTATTTTTCTTTAATTTTTTATGGTATACCTGTTCTTCTGATATAGTCATTGCATTTACTTCTTGAAGAGCTTTATTAAAACTTAGTATTTATAACAAGAAAATATTTTTCTGATTCACAGGCATGAAACTCCTCAGGTTGAAATTCCCAATGCACATGATAACAGCGTTTGGGACCTGGCATGGCACCCGATTGGATATCTTCTTTGCAGGTAGAGGCAATCTTTGTTGTTTATTTTCAACTTTTGTTTTAATAAAAGAGTTTCCTGTTTACCAGATGTTTGGAGACATATCAGTTAAAATTATTGATTATATATTTATTAATTCAATACAAGCCTTTTTGCTCCTTCATGTGTTTGTATCTGCCATGTCCTTGTATTTGTCCTACACTTCAGGATTTTGTGTCCTATATCATTTTGTTGTACAGTCTCAAGCATTGTTCAATGACTGTTGGTACAAGCAAATTTAAAATGCTTTGATAGATCTCATAATGTTCACTGATCTCTGTTGATACTTAGCTAAATTATGGCAATAATGAGCCTGATTTCACAGCTCTGTGAGTAGGTATTACCCTCTATTTGTTTTATTTCACTCTTAACAGGATCTTTGTCTATACACATATGAGGCTATTACATTGTTTCTGATTTGCCTACTACCTAGTGGACATTTATGTGTTGGTTTTATCTGTTTGTGAGTACTTTTCATGCTTGGGCTACCCTTTCCGCTTCTGAACTTGGTTTGCTTCTTTTGCAGTGGGAGCAATGATCACACAACAAAGTTTTGGTGTAGAAATAGGCCAGGAGATTCTGCTCGTGACAAATTTAGCATTGGTCAGAACCAAGGTTGTTATCTTTCCACCTTGCACCCTGCTTATGTTGTTTTATCTTGAAAGCTGTTTGGTTCAAATTCTGTAGATCTGAATTGCAGAATGTAACCAGTGGCAAATCAAAGTTTAGTAATATTCTTCGAATTTCATGGTGTTTGAGGGGGTATTGATAATATAAACCCCTTAGCTTGCTTCTTTGGAAGCAAAGGATTGCTTAAATGGTGTTTTTTTTTTTTTTTGTTTTTTAAAATCTGATTGACCACTTGACATGCTGATGTGCTATCTTGGTCAATGCCTGCAATCCTATGAGTTTACAACAGTTTTTTTTTTTAAACACAAAAAATTGAATAGTTGTACAAATTTTTCGTCAGGTTATGGTGAACAAAATGCTGCTCTTGCTGGTCAAATGCCTGGGAATTTTGCGGTTCCTGAAGCACCAACAACTCCAGGACCATTTGCTCCTGGACTGACTCGAAATGATGGAACCATTCCTGGTATTGGAGTTGCAATGCCCTTAACTATTCCAGCATTTGATTCATCGGCTCAAGGGGAACAAAAGCAGCCTCTTCCTGTTTCAATGCCTTTAGGAGCACCTCCTCTCCCACCTGGTCCACATCCCTCTCTTCTTGCTGCCAATCAGCAACAACAGGGATATCAACAAAACCCACAGCAGCAGATGCCGCAACAACACCAGGGACACCCTCATCAAATGCCCCCTATGCCTATGCAACCTCCAAATATGCCACAACTACAGCCTCCATCCCATATGCCCTTGCTGCCCCATCCTCATATATCTCGCCCACCACCCCAAATGCCCCAACATGGCATGCCATCTCAAATCCCATCTTCGATGCCAGGGTCGTTGCCTGTACCTTCATCACATCCAATGCCAATGCCTGGTCCAATGGTATGATACTGTAATCAGCTCTACCTTTCCTATTTTCTTCCCCTTGAACCAAATTTAACAATCAGTTCAGATATTCTTATCTTAGTATTTGTTTTAGGAAAAAGAGGGTTCCTAGTGCTACTTGTGACACACTAAAACCAAAGATGCAGCAAATACTGGTGCTACATGATCAAAATTTTGCTAGCATACTTGTCACGTCTTTGACAGTTTCCATTTGAGAGAAAATCCAGTTGCTGATGATTTAAATTTTAAGAAATAACAAAGTTGCTTGAAACTATAAAATGACTTTTAGAAGATCAAAAACTATGAAATATTCGAGCAAAACTTCTCAAAAGATTTTCCTTCATTGTTTACTTTGGTTTGTTATCTGAATAAGATTGCCGAGGACAATAGATATTGGGAGGCATGGCCTCTGCAAGTTTTCTGTAAGCCAGTTAGGTTTTCTCCTCACTTTGTTTCAGACAATTTAAGATGCTGCTGATGAAAATTATTCCAAGTGCAGGGGATGCAAGGTACAATGAATCAGATGGCTCCATCTATTCCACAAGGCCATTACATGGGAATGAATCCAATGCACTCAGGATCCTTACCCACTAGTGGTGTGCCTCCTGTTGGGGGCTTTCCAAATGGTTTGCCAAATATGCAAGGCCCATCGAATGCAAGTGGAGCACAAATGTATCCACAAGGTGGTGGATTTAATCGTCCACAAGCAGGACAAATGCCAATGATGCAAGGGTTTAATCCCTACCAGGTAAGTCATAAGTTTGTTACTGTAAGGATCAACGCTTTGAAGCTCTTTGAGAAAGTTTTCATGCTTATTATTAGGTTTATGCATCTGAATTTGCGTTGGTGGATATGAATCTCTAGTGTATGAACTGGATGAGGTGTCTGATAGTCACCATTTTCCCTGAAAGACGGTTCAATCGAACTCATAATTGTACCAGAATAAGTGTCTGTAACTGGAGCGAAGCTGATTTTCAGCATATATGTGAATTAATCCAAATCATTGAGACCTGAGATTGCTGTTATGGATACAAATCACTAGAGTCTAGTGTGTTGAACTGGATATGATGTCTGATTTAAGATGGTGAAACTGAACTCATACATTAAATAGAATCAATTTCTGATAAGTGATACTGAAAAGTGATTTTTGGGGTACTTTTTTCCTTTTGTAGATAGACATTATTGTTTACGACGCTGAAATTAATTTCCATCATAACTTTGAAATGAGTGGGAGTTCATATGTGGGTTGTACTGGAATGATCATGCTTGTATAATTATTATCTCGCATGAGTTTTAAAGATGCTAACCTGTGGTTTTGCTTATTGCAGTCTGGTAATCAATCTGGTATGCCGCCACATGGTCAAACGCCTCAGTAGCATATTCTTGTGCTATATAAGATAGCTTCACAGAGTTGCTGCCGTCTAAGACTGACGGAGAAGCAATCTGTTTTTCTCGTTCTGACCTGTATTCATGTTTCATTCATTTTGTTAATTTTCCCCCTTTGCTGTAGCTATGATGTTGTTACAAACTGAGTGAAATATTCAATGACATGGCGTTGGTTTAGCAAATTATATTTATTCCACATTTTACTGTCAGACATGTTTCGAATTTAGTCTGTGTTGTGGAGGGCTGTGTGGCCTTTGCTCGGGAAGTTGCATTAGTTATATACTTGTAGATTTTTGGGTTCGTATTCAAGTTTTATCACGTATTTGCAATATTAAAATTAGTTTCATTAGCGATTAATTTAAAGTAGAGATTTGCAATATCAAGAGAGTACAAATTAAGAGCAAGTGTAATATTGAAGGGAGACTTTTATCTAAATAAATAAGGTGATAAGAGTTTAAAACATTGTTTTAAAATCCAGCCCGGTCTGGTCGATTGAATTGAGACCTAGGGCTTTCATTGGGTCAGATTACCCATTCACTATTCACAAAAACCCTAGATATTGGGATGATGATCGCCAAATAATTGAAGGTTGGGATGTTGGGGTTTTTGAAGAGAAAGTTTTGGTGAGTGCAATGGTGGCGACAGAGTTGATTTCGGCGAGTGAATCGACCAAAAATCCAAAAAAACCGATGGTGATAATAATCGGTTTTTATCGATGATTGAAGAGGCAAACGAGGGTCGAGTGAGATAGATTTTGGTTAGGAGGTTGAAGGGAGTATTTTCATGGTGATGGGGAGGGTTGTCGACGTCGGTGGTAAGATTTGGCTTGGAATGTTGACATCGGCGTTGGTGAGATCTGGTTGAAATCGAATTGATTTCGGTTAGATCTTGGGTAGATTTTCTAGGGAATGGGTTCAAGGGATGATTGTGATTGCATTTGTTGTGTCTTTGTTGCCAACAAGTCGACTGTCAATTTGTATTTGAGGTGTGTTTGCTAAATTTTAAATATGTAGGGACTTATGTGTAATTTTTAGGGGTATATTTGTTGAATTTTAAACTTTTTTGTCACCTGGTTTGACCGATCGATCAACCTGATTAAACTGGTCAACCCGGGACCCGGCAACTTTGTTAGGTTTCACCCCAAGTTGTTATTAAAACATTAGTTTAGAAAACATTAGTGCTAGGTAGTTGTGAAGAAATGACACTTTTTTTCTCAAAGAAATCCATTCGTAAATAATTTACAGCCTGGGGGAATTAAAAGGAAAAAAAAAAAAAAAAAAAAAATAACTCACATCAGGTAAGCTATGGTAAAGAATAGGAAATCTCAATATTAACATGATGGAGAATAAAATTTATTCGGTTAAAATTCTAAGTTCATGTATGAAAAGAATCAAAATTTGTGAGAAGTTGATATCAGCAAGGCCTTCTAACTCTTGTAAGTTGTTATCAGGAAAGAGTCTAAATTAGCATTTCTCCAATAAAATAATTTCAATCATGGAAAAATCCTGTTTTATATTCAATTGAAGTTAGTAATGTACGCTTCTGATTCAAGCATTGAAACTTGACTTTATTCCTGAAATATCCATCTTCAAGCTTGAAAAGAACCCATTTCTCATAATCAGATTCATTACCTGAAATATTCTTCATGCATTAAAAGACTCAAATCAATTTGATGGAAAAATGGAAAATATAACAAATTTGGACTTGGAAAAACATTTTTCTTATGATTTTATTTGCCCCACTTAAGATTTTATTAACTGGCTATCTATGTTAGCTAGCAAATTTAATTATTTTCCAATTAATTTATTTCCAAGTACACTATAATACCAAACTCTATGACAGTGAGAGAGAGTTCAGAGATGTAAGAGAATGAATGAAATACGCTAGGTAGGTTTGACATAGTATTAGATACATTACATAGCACTAAATAATATAATACAATATTTGGTAACAAATTTGCATTGTATTAAATAATGCAATTTATTCTAGAGTAAACAACATGTTCCCACCCAAAGATTAGCGAAATTCCAAGTTCCCATCCTTGGTTTCATCTATTATGGATTTTCATGGATTTTCACCCTTAAATTAACAGAAAATCATTTAATGCAACAGTCAAAGGGTAAAATGATCATTTGAATTGCGTTAAATCTGAAATGAAAATGAAAACTTCAAAATGACCTTTACATCTCAAATTTCTCTCACAAGCACCCCTCATCACTCCTCTCCCTTGCGACTGCCAGAAAAATCCAGATCTAGTTGGATTCCGGTGCCATTGGAAATCACCACCACCACCACTAGCTTCCCCCACTCATCCCGAACAAAACCCATCTATCCCCCAACCTTGTCCCCCTCCATTTTGGCTAGATCTGAGTCTTTTCTCCGTAATTTTCCCCTGCCTCACAGCTGTCCGAAAAATCCAGATCTAACTGAATTTCGACGCCGTTGGACATCACCGCCACCACCACTAGCATCCCCCACTGATCCTCGACAAAACCCATCCATCTCCCAACCTCGTCTGCCTCCATTTTGGTCGGATCTGAGCCATTTCTCTGCGATTTTCCCTTCCCTTGTGGTTGCCGGAGAAATCTAGATCTAGTTGGATTCCGGTGCCGTTTGACATCATCGCCACCACTATTAGCTTCCCCCACTCATCCCGGCAAAACCCATCCATCCCCCAGCCTTGTCTGCCTCCAGTTTGGTCGGATCTGAGCCTTTTGTCCCAATTTCCCCTTCCTTGCAGTTGCCGAAAAAATTCAGATCTATTGGGGGTTAAAAATAATTTATTAATTTATTTGTAAGGGTAGTTTGATAATAACACTCTATATACGGTATCAAAACCCAAAAATCATTAACGATGCTAATTTAATGGTAGAAATCTAAAATAAATGAAACCAGGGGTGAGAACTGGGATTTTTGCTATTCTTTGGGTGGGAACGTGTTGTTTACTCTTTATTCTACATTAAATAATGTATACTAAAACCATTGTATTAGTTAATGCAATTTTACTTAGCATTAATGTTAAACAAATAAACATTGTCAATTAATTTTAATATGCAATGGCCAATCAACAGTGATTAATGTCAACCAACACGTTGAACAGAGTTTGAGTTGCATTGATCAATATTTGACTTGTATTGATTGGTGTTAACTAGTGTTTGATTGACATTGACCACGTTTAACCATCATTTTGCCTTTCATTGATCATAATTGACCACTAGTCTGTTCAAGTTTTGATATATATTTTTTTAAATGTATATTAGTTTTTAAAATAATTTTGCTCCACGTGTCCTTATTTTAAAGTCCGGACATGCGTTATTGACAACATGAATGTATTATATAATTGGTTAAATTAAAGGGGTTTGGACATATATAGTCAACTCAATAATTGCACTTTCCCAAAATCATAAGCTATATATGGCTCAATACGCTTGAATTGGAGACTTCAATTGTTGGTTGGTCTTATAGCTTCAACTTGTGAAGGGTTGGGCAGGTCTTCAAGGAGTAGAGCCTAATATCAATTTCCACCAACTATGTTAACTTGGATATTAGATATCAGTGGCGAGATTAGAATTAATTCAAAAAGAATTAAAAATAAAAGGAAACACAATTCAAGAACATTAGTATAGCTTGATATGTACAAATATATTTAATGACTATGTGTAGACAGTAAAATCAGTGGTCAAATCGAGAAGGATTGATCCTATATGAAGTGAGCCACTGACAACTTGGAGTACCTGCATAAAGAGCAAAAACGAATGTGAAAGCTAGATAGACATCGGCTTGGTGCCTGCCGTAGACACTCTGACGCTCAAGTCAGCGAGGTTGAGGGTATTTTAGTGAAGGCTAAGGATGGGAAGGAATACCGGAATAATGCAGTGGTTATTGAGAGCAAGAACTTTGAGAGCTCAGGTGTTGCAGGTGATTTTTGCCTCCAAAATGAGAGGGTTTGTCCTTGCTTAAATAGTGAACCCAAGAGGTTCCAATTCTAGTAGGACTCAGAGTCCTACTAGGTAAAGGAATTGCAATTAGGAAAGAGATAGGATCTCATTTCCTTATCAGGTTAAGTTTAAAATTTATGAATGTGATTGGGGATCTCGACAGAAGTGGAAACATAATACGATTTTGTTTCCTATTTATGGACTGCTATGGGTTGGTCGGCTTGACCCAACTTAGGTTAGCTTGCAGGATAGCCCAACTCATAAAGAGGGCAGTTTGTAAGGTGGATTTAAGTGTAGGCCCAACCGGAATTGGGCTTAGGCCTTGGGCCGTAATCTATCTATCTTATCTATTAGGCCTCGTCAAGCCCAATACGATTTTTGGCCCATACAGTTTGTCCCCCACTCTCCAAGTTAAGGGGTACTTAGCTTTGGAGAGTAGATTCAATTTGTCACATACAGGATGTGAACGAGCTGATATTCCTGCACGAATGATTTGACTCGGAATGTTTGCTAATGCCCCTGGGCATTGGGGTTTGGTTTGGTTCGACCATGGTGGTTGAATGGAGCCAAATGAAGATTGTAGGAATCTTCTGATGTTGAACCAAACATGGCCCATTTAGGCGGTCATTCAGCTTAGTTGCTTTTCCTGGAGGAATTATGTTGGTTGGGTCGTTCAAAGCATAAAACAACTTATGTGAATGCCTAAAAGTGGGACCGTACGACATTGCCACGTCTGTCGGGCGAGGAGAAGTGGCTGTGCGTGTGGAGGATAAGGGAAAGAGCCAAACAATGCTGTAACATTTTGCCTGAAATGACTCAGAGGACTTCGTATTTAAAAACGTCAAACTTATTAGATTGTTGCTAGCGTCTCTTGGAAGGACCGAATGATACAGCGCGGCTCGCTAATTGACCATGGCCGAGCCAAATGGAGAAGCTATAAGATTATGGGAGTTGCAAATTAGATGATTGATGGTGTCATATGGAATATACGTACACGTTGTTTGAGTCCCTCAGAGTAATAAAAGTAGGGGTTTTAGATCCATAAATGATACAAACCGTGACGATTGGCCGAGCCATGCCGTGCAGTGGCGAAACATGAACCTGCAAGGCGGGGCAACAAAGATTATCAT